TCGACTGGGCTCTCATTGATGTTTCTATCCCCTCCTCTCCCAAAACCAATGAGAACATATTTTCCTAAAATGTATTCAAATAGTACAGAATTTTGTATGCTCTCCACTCAGTTTCCACCAATATTAATGTTTTATGTAACCACAGTACAATGATAAAAACTAGGATATTAAGATGAAGAGTGACATTCTATAGGTGCTGCTTTGCATTTTGCTTTCTTTCCTTAACAGAATACCCTGGAATCCACATTGGTTCATAGAAAGCTTATTTCTATGCATCATACTCCATTGTGTGGGTATAACACAAGTTTATTCAACCTTTTTCTTATGTCTTATGTAAGAGCACATAGGTTTCCTGTAATTTGCAGTTACAAACAGTGCTGCGGTGATCAATCTTGTGTCTGTTTGATACTGTTGGAGGTGTATCTTCAGGAAAGATTCCTAGAAGGGGGATGTCTTGGTTAAAAGGTAAGTGCGTATGTAGTATTTTTGTTTATTGACAAATTCCTGCATAGGTGGGGATTTTCTTCCTTGCAACTTAGTTTTTAAAGAAGCCAAACCATTTGTTTTTCATTGTTACTGTTGATTATTTATAAGTTTGTTAATGTGTTTTTTATTTTATTTAAATTCTTTATTGTTGAAAGAAGTAGTACATGTCTTCTTTTCTCCCCATTGATCTCTCCCAGCCACTTCCCACCCTCCTACTGTCTGTGTCCACTGGTTATGCTTATATGCATACATACAAGTCCTTTGGTTGATCACTTTATTTGTAGGTTTTAACGTGATATATAATACTTTAATCTACTACAGTTATTTCATGTTCAGATTGTGCATCCCCTCTGTGAACAGCAAGAGCCTATCACACCCCTCCCCCAAGATGGTGATTTATTTGCATAGATTTTGTTTATTCAAGACCCTATGTTGGCTAAAGCAGTCCCTCCAGGAATTGCCCCTCCAGAGGCCGTGACAGTAGGTCTTCTGTGGAGGGAAATGTTGGGAGGGCGGTCAGCTGTAGTAAAGGCAGCTCTCGGAGAAAGCGGGAGCTGAGGGGCCAGCTGCCAAGAATTCAATAAATTGCTTCAGATATTCTTTCTTGTGGGCAAGAGCCTCTTTTATTACAAAAATGACTGCTTTATGACATCTTGAGTTTGATTTAAACATTGCTGTTAGTATGTTGCTGACACCAGCTTTGCAGAAAGGGCTCTGGAGAGATGGTTTATGAACACAGCAACACACACCTGCAGCTCTTCTGTTCTGGAGGCTCCAGGGCAGCCAATATTGCTTCGTCAGACATTCTTTAGGCCTTTCTGTGTGAGTGCAGAACGTTCCACATATTTGATGGCCTTCAGGTCATCTTTTCTTCAGCAGTTGCTGGAGGGATAGGCTTTGGTTTGTTCTTGGCAAGTTTCTCAATAGTAGAGGGGTCATCTCTGAGATCAATTTGGGTCCCAACAAGCAAGAAAGGAGTTTATGGACAGTAGTGAGTTCTCTCAGGCACCCACTTTAATGTTTTCAAATGAGGATGGAGAGACCACTGAAACACATTAGAAATACATCTGCCTGTGAATAACTCAGCAGTCATAATCTTGTCTCATCTTCTTGTCCTGCAGCCTCAAAAAGCCTAAGAGTATATGGCTCTCCACCAATCATCGTTGTGACTACAAAGTTGTCAAAAACAGTTGGTACATAGTCAGATGGAAATTTGCTTATAGGGTAGAATATTAGGAGTCATATTTTACCAATGGCACCATCACCCACAATAATGCACTTAATTGTCTGCATTGCTGAAATCGTTTTCTATCCAATTTAAATATTTCAAATCTGATAATGACCCCAGCTTCTCTGCCAGCATGTTGGTGAACTAACGCTTCTAGTCTTTGATGGTTTCTTTTATTTCTGGTGTGACAAGATAGCCAGGCTCATCCTGTCCCAGAACCAGAATTACCATTTTCTTGAAGGAACCACGTTTCCGTATAATAGGTAATGCTGTTTAGGGCTTACAATCTGGGAAACAAGACTATGTCTTACATTCTTATTTTTATTTAATTCATTAAATAGGTTAAGTTTATGCTACATTTTTATTGATGTTATTATTATGAAAGTGACCTTTTTCTCCATTGCATCTTTCCTCCAATGAAAGGTTATTGATTTATACCTTTATTTGACCCACCTGTTTACTAAACTTTTTTTTTTATTTTTTTATTATTTTTTTATTTTTTACTTTTCCTGTTTAGTTTTACTTTGCTTTTTCAGGAAGACAGTCATACCATCTGTAAATAGTGATAATTTTTCCATCTTCTCAATCATTAGACCTCTTATTTGTTCAAAAGAATGTCCAACTGCATTTTCTGGCACTTTCAGATCAATAATATATACTACAGATGCTGGTTACCTGTTCTTATTTGTGAATTTTCCATTAAGTTGGCTCCCCCATGTAAAGACAAATTAGTGCTCTTCTTAGTGGTGTATTTTTACTGGAAAGAACATAATTGATAGAGGTTAACTCCCTTTCATCACAACTTGCCTTATATTTCCCCCTCTCTTCTAATTACCTTCCTTGAGCTTGATCTCGGGTCACTGCATTTGTATATCACTCACTGGATGAATTCCACAGGGACTACTTTATGACATCTCATAGAGAACATCCCATGACCGTCAATACTCAAAATACTGGTATAAAAAGAAGGCCAAGAGAGGGAATAATGTTCCCCTATGGTCAGCTGGAACTCTTCCATCTTTCTAGGTGTACTGGTTAGTATTGCGGTTTTTATTCAAAGAAAACACGATAATTTCAAGAGGAATATCAAAAGTGCTTTATTCAAAGTGATGTCCATCGCTAGCTTTACATTTCCCCATCTTTCTGGTAATTTGTGGATACCGTCCCAACAGAACTTTCCTTGTTTTGAGGCAAACCATTCAGAGTCCCAATTTTCCACTTTGTACTTAAAAAAAAAAAAAAAAAAAAAAAAAATATATATATATATATATATATATATATATATATATATATATATTATTGATTTTTTTACAAAGAGGAAGAGAGAGGGATAGAGAGCTAGAAACATCATGAGAAACATCTATCAGCTGCCTCCTGCATGCCCCCCACTGGAGATGTGCCCACAACCAAGGCACATGTCCCCCGACCAGAACTGAACCCGGAACCTTTCAGTTCCCAGGCCGACGCTCTATCCACTGAGCAAAACTGGTTAGGGCTTTTTGTACATTTTGAAGTGCTGCTCAGAAAGTACATGTGCCATCAATCAGAACAAGTGGTAATCTGAAGGAGCAAGGTCTGGTGAATACAGCGGTGGGTTAATACTTCTCAGGCTAGATCTTTCAACGTGTCTTTAACTGGTTTTGAAGTGTGTGATGGTGTGTCATCATGAAGCAAAATTACTTTGCAGTATCTTCTGGAACATTTTGATCATTTCATGATTAAAGCATGGTTCAAATTTGATTATTTGTTGTTGGTAGCGATCAGTATTAACGGTTTCACCTGGTTTTAGAAGCTCATAATACATCACACCTTTCTGATCCCACCAAACACACAGCATTGTCTTCTTTCCGAAGCGATTTGGCTTGCAGTTGATGTTGATTGACCTGGATCAACCCATGATTTTGTGCATTTGGGATTCTCAAAATAAATCCACTTTTCAACACCAGTCACAATTTGATGCAAAAAAAAAAAAGATTTTCTTTCGTGCTGTTGAAGCAATATTTTACTGATGACTTTTTGGTTTTCCATTTGTCTTTCGTTCAGTTGATGTGGCATCCATTTTCCTTCCTTTAAAATCTTTCCCATTGCTTGTAAACAATTAGATATAGTTTGCTGAACAATGTTTAATCTTTCTTCAAGTTGTTTTTGAGTTTGACACGCATCTTCATCCAATAATGCTTGTAATTGTTGGTCTTCAAACTTTTTTGGTTGACCTGGATGTTCTTTGTCTTTCACATTGAAATCATCACTTTTAAAGCATTTAAGCCAGTATCTTGAGATGGAGCATGTTCACCATAAGCTTCCTGAAGTATTCAGCAGCACTTTTCTTCAAAATAAAGTAATGAATTACAACTTATTGCAAATGTGCTTTTTTGGGGGGCACGACATACAACATTTTTAAGTGTAAAAATATATTAACACTTTCAGCAAATTTGCCATATGAAGTTTTGCAGCTTGTTGTCAATACAACAAAATAGCATACATATCAAATCGCATATGTGTAACTCCCATCTATTGAAAAAATCCACATTACTAACCGGTACACCTAGTAAGTTTGCTAGTCTGATGTCTTTGTTTATTAGGTGTGTGTCTGTGTAAGGATTTTCAGAAACCTCTATCTTAGTTTTCACCTGGCTGTTCTACCAGCTAGATCTTTAGAGGTCAGCGCCGTGTGTCATGGTGGTTTATTTATTGAGCTCCTACTAGGAGACAGTATAGCATAATAACTAAAAGTGGTCTCCCCGCTTCCCCTCAGCGCCCTGAAGTTGACGAAGGTGTGTAGTGGGAACGGTGCCACAGCTCTGGGATTTGACTCGTGTTACTGGGGAAGTTGTGCACAGCCCTACAACCTGCATTTCAAGCCTGAAGTGATCACGGCATGCCTTTCATACTCAGCTCTAACTCACCAGGATAGATAGTAATAATAATCGGACCCTTGTTACATTTTTATCGTGGACTAAGTTACCACTAATGCCAAAAGAATTATGCCTTTCCGCTTATATCAGCTAACAAGAGTAATTAGTAAATATGTTTGTCAACAGTATTTCCATGTGTTCTATTAAAGTCAGCCGGTGGTTTTATATGGGTAAGAACTTCACCGGGCTGAGCGAGAAGTGAATTCACCATTACAGAGGGCGGGATTCGTGGGTGGGGCCATCCTCCTTGGCAGCTTCATTTCCATGGCAACGGTTGCTACGGTAACCACCAGGCCTTCCCATTGGTCACTGCTGAGCAGATTGCGGTTCCCTGGGCGGACCTCATTGGCTATAATGATGCAGTGCCGTAAGGGAAGTGTCGTAAAGCAGAAAGGAAGGCGGGAGTGCGGATGGGAAACATCAGGGAAACCTGAGCAGCGGCGGCCGCTATGGCGAGTGGCTCGTGGGCCGAGGTCCGGGAGAAGTTCCAGGCCGCGCTGGCTCTGTCGCGGGTGGAAGTGCACAAGAACCCCGAGAAGGAGCCGTACAAGTCCAAGTACGGCGCCCGAGTGCTGCTGGAGGAGGTCCGAGCGCTGCTGGGCCCCGCGCCCGAGGACCAGGAGGAGCGGCCTCCGGCCGAGGACGACGTGGGCGCGGGGGACTCCGCCCGGGGGCTGCCGGCCGCGCTGGTGGAGGTCGAGGGGCCCGGGGCCCAGGGCGCCGTGCGGCTGGCGGTCATCGAGTTCCACCTGGGCCTGAACCACATCGACACGGAGGAGCTGTCGGCGGGGGAGGAGCATCTGATGAAATGCCTGCGGCTGGTGCGCCGCTACCGGTTGTCGCCCGACTGCGTGTCCCTGTACATCCAGGCGCAGGTGCGAGCGCTGCCCGCGGCCGGGGGCTCGGGGCTCGGGGCTCGGGGCTCGGGGCGGGAGGGCCCACCTCCTGCCAGGGCCAAGGTAAATGTTGCAAGGCTCAAATTGTCCCACGCGTTTGAAGCTTTGGGATAAACACCTGGGAAACTCCTCCACCTCCATCGCCCACTTCAACGTCCCTGGCTGCTTCGCTTAGTCGTGGTCAATGCATTGGTTTTGCCCTCTTTATAATCGTAAAATACTTTTTCAGCTCTTCTCCACCACTTCTAGTTCTGTTCATTCTATTAGGGGAAAAAAAAATCTAAAGTAATTTTAATCTTAAGAGGGACCAGTTTGTTCCCAATTTGCTAAAATGTTGTTAACATTTTTTGTATCTTTGTTCATGAAGGATTTATCAGTCTGTAGTTTTCTTGTTAGGTCTTTGGTTTCGTCTGAGATGGGAGGTGTACTTTCCTTATGTTTCTAGAAGAGTTTGTGTAGAGTTGGTGTTATTTCTTCCTTACATGTTTGGTGGAATTCACCAGTAGTAGTACTTTTTTTTAGCTCTTCTTATTTTATATTCAGCTTTTCCCCCTACCTGGTCTGATGCTCTGTGAATGAGACAATAGTTTCTGTTGTATTGTAGGATTTATGTTATACTTAAAAAACAATTCATGTAGAATGTTAACAGCAGTTATCTCTGTGGAGTTAAAAATCAAATCGATTCTAGCCGAAACCGGTTTAGCTCAATGGATAGAGCGTCGGCTTGGGGACTGAAAGGTCCCGGGTTCGATTCCGGTCAAGGGCATGTACCTTGGTTGCGGGCATATCCCCAGTAGGGGGTGTGCAAGAGGCAGCTGATCGATGACTCTCTCATCGATGTTTCTAACTCTCTATCTCTCTCCCTTCCTCTCTGTACAAAATCAATAAAATATATTTAAAAAAAATCAAATCGATTCTAGATCCCTTGCTCAAGTCACCATTAAACTCCAGGGTTTCTAAACACTTTTTGCAGTCTAGTGAAGCCTATCTATATAATAAAAGGCTAAAAGGCAAATTGTCCCCTCCACTGGGGGTTGACAGAGAGTTGAACAGGGGCTTATTGGCTTGCCAATCACATGTGGCTCCCCCTGCCAGGCCCAATTGGACCCTCCTCCCCCTGCCAGGTCCAATTGGACCCCACCCGTGCACGAATTTGTGCACCAGGCCTCTAGTATTGCATAAAACAGACTAGTGATTTTAAATGTATAAAATAAAATATAAAAGAATATTAAAGGAACCAGTAATATAAATGTTATCAACACATACATTTTAATCCTCACCTAAGGATATATTTTTATTGATTTTAGAGAAAGTGGGACAGAGAGAGAGAAAGAGAGAGAGAGAAACATAGATATGAGAGAGAAACATCAATTGTTATGCACCAAAACCAGGAATCAAACCCACAACCTAAGTATGTGCCCTGACTAGGAATTGAACTCATAATCTTTTGGTGTTGGAACAACACTCCAACCAACTGAGCAATCCAGCTAGGGCTCAAAGTATTTTTTTAAAAAGATTTAAACAATAACTAATGATGTGTCTAATGTCCATAATTTTATTTTATTTTTTAATATTTTTTTATTTATTTCAGAGAGGAAGGGAAAGGGAGAGATAGAAACATCAGTGATGAGAGAGAATCATTGATTGGCTGTCTCCTGCACATCCCACCCTGGGATTTGAACCATGACATCCTGGTTCATAGGTTGACCAGCTGGGCAATGTTCATAATTTTAAAGTAGTTAATGAATATAAATATTTTGAGATCAGCAAATTGTAACATTAAGATTTTTTTTTTCACTTTTATAAGTCACAAAATCTCAAGTAGTATAATATTGTTGCTTTTTTTAAATTAAATATATTTTATTGACTTTTTATAGAGAGGAAGAGAGAGGGATAGAGAGTTAGAAACAGCGATGAGAGAGAGACATCGATCAACTGTCTCCTGCACACCCTCTACTGAGGATGTGCCCGCAACCAAGGTATATGCCCTTGACTGGAATCGAACCTGGAACCTTTCAGTCCGCAGGCTGACGCTTTATCCACTGAGCCAAACTGGTTTTGACTATTGTTGCTTTTTTTTTGTTGTTAATCTTCACCCAAGGATATTTTCCCATTGATTTTTAGAAAAGTGGAAGGCAGGGAGGAAAGGAAGGGGGAGAGGGGGGAGAGAGAGAGGGATGAACCTGCAACCCAGGTATGTGCACTTGAGCAGGAATTGAACCCGCTACCCTTCGGTCCTCAGGCTGATGCTCTGACCATAGAGCCACACCAGCCAGGGAATATTGTTGCATTTTGTTTCCTGCTTTCATAATGAAAATAAATGCTAGATTTTAGTAGAACATAGTGAAAATAAATTGAAATGATTTTTCCATCCATATTTGTAGACTCTGAATTCTATTAATGGGTTCCTACCTTGTGGTTCTGTGGACCACAGGCTAATCTGTGTGCCTGGCTGGGGTAGCTCAGCGGCTGAGCACCGAACCGGGAACCAAGAGGCCACCAGTTTGATTCCCAATCAGGGCACATGCCCGGGTTGTGGATTCGCTCCCCTGTGGGGGGCATGCAGAAGGCAGCTGATCGATAATGTTTCTATCTATCCCTTTCCCTTCCTCTCTCTCTAAAAAATCAATAAAATGTATTTTTAGAAAAATACACCAAAACCTCTCTGTTTTCTTATCCTGTGCCCTTCCCGAGGAAAGTAAGCAAAAGGTGGTAGAAACTCAGCCTCCGAAGTTTCCTTGTGCCTGAAGGACAGTCTAACCCTGTATTCTAAAGGTTAGCTGGGCATCCAGTCCTGAGTTTTGAGTCTAGACAGCCCTGATTTGCTCTGTAAAGTGCCTGATAGAGAGTCACATGCAGGAGACAAGCTGGCTTAGTTTTAAAAATGTTATTTAGCATATCACCCCAAATCTAATCAATTTCTTAGCACCTTCATGGTAGCAGAAGGAAGTTTGTGCTATGGACATCAAAAGGAAGTGATCGATATAAGAAAAGACACTACAAGTGAAGACACTAAAAATTCTGGATATAATTACAAAGCTGTATAATTTTAAGAACTTTGGAAAATACAAACATTTATTTTTTGAAATGGTAAACATTAGGAACCTGACTTATCTGATGAGGAAAGGCATATAGCATCTTCAGTTTTCATTACATAATTTGAATAATTGGAATTTGAGAGCTCACCTCCCTTTAGGCTTGAACCAAACAGTAACTGTTAAGAGGCCTCTGGAGATTCTAGACATTTGAAAACATGTTTCTGGCTCATCTTCATCTCACCGTGTACTGTCTATTGATACAGTGATACAGTTTTACCCTCGAAGTTAGGATCTTGAAGGAAAAACGTTTATTTCAGGAATCTAGGTATGGCTTAGCTGGCTGCTCTGGTTCAAGGTCTCTCATCCCATTGTTGGCCTGGTGAGGCTGCACTTGAAGAGTCAACTGAGGGAGGATCTTCCAAACTCCCTCATGGGGTTGTTGGCAGGACTCAGTTCCTTTGGGCTGTTGGCCCGAGGGCTCCAGTTGACCTCCCTCAGTTCCTTGCCGTGTGAGAGTCTGCACAGCCACCACATGGCAGCTGACGTCCCTCAGAATGGGAGAGGAGCACCTCAAGGGGAACAGTGTTCTGGAACTTAATCTTGGAAGAGACCTTCTATCACCTTTGCCATATTCCGTTTGTTAGAAGCAAGCCACAAAATCCAGCCCATACTTAAGGGGAAAAGATTATACAACAAAGCATGAATACCAGGAGGCAGGGATCATTAGGGATCCATCAGTAGCTGTTTACCACTACATAAGGACAATATTGGGAATAATTCATTGTGTTTTTTTAAAAATATATATTTTTTTATTTCAGAGAAGAAGAGAGAGGGAGAGAGAAAGAAACATCAATGATGAGAGAGGATCGTTGATTGGCTGCCTTCTGCACGCCCCCTTACAGGATCGATCCTGCCACCCGGGCCTGTGCCCTTGACTAGAATTGAACCAAGACTCCTTAGTCCACAGGCCGATGCTCTATCCACTGAGCCAAACCAGCCAAGACAGGAACAATTCATTGTTAATCAAACTGCAGTACTGATTGGTAGGAAAATACTGACTTTGAAACTAAAAGTTACTGTTACGAGGAGATTTATATTGTCATTATTTCTCTTTATTTTCCAGAATAATCTGGGTATCTTGTGGTCTGAAAGAGAAGAAATTGAAACGGCACAAGCTTACCTAGACTCATCAGAAGCACTGTATCTTCAGTATATGAAAGAGGTATGTTGCATGTCCGATAAATTTTAAGATTTGATTAAAACTAATCAAGAACTGATGTTAAGAATTCCTTACTCAAATATTTGTGTATGACTCTCAGTATACTTAGGGACCTCTCTATAGAGCTGTCTAGGTAGTCAGTCAGTACTTGCAGACACCGTTGTTAGTGATTTATAAATTTTAACTCATTCAATCCTCATGGCAACTTCTGAGGTGGATACTTTTATTATTCTTATTTTAGAGATGAGAAAACAGACCACAAGGGATTAAGTTACTTGTCTCCACACACTAGTAAATTGTGAAGTTGGGATTCTAATCCACACAATCTGATTCCAGAACCCGTACTTTTAACCTAGACTCCGCTGTCTCACTTGGTAGTTGGACTTAGTGTAGAACACAAGTGCTCAGAGCTCCTTGAAGGACAGTGTGGTGTCAAAATGATGAGAGCAGATCGAAGGAATGCACTGTAAGCAGAATCCGCAGATTGAGCATTCCTAATTGCTTTGTCAGTTTATAATTTTTATTATTATTTTCGTGGGGTGGGGAGACACAGACTTTGTACACATATCTGAGTTTGAATCCTGAACCTATTAACTGTATAGCCTTCCAATAAGTCATTCTACTTCCAATAAGTCATCCTCAGATTCCTCATATGTGAAATGGAAATAATGATACTTGCACCCTTGTAGCATGGTCAAAGAATGAACTATCATAGGTATAAGATGCTAGTTGGCACATAGTAGGTGCTCAACTAAAACTGGTTTTACTCTCCTTCCTGCTCTCTTTTTAAAAAATGTTTCTTTATTGTTGAAAGTATTATATATGTTCCCCCTTCGCCATTAACTCCCTCTACCCTACTCCTGTTCCTTCCACAGTACTTACTGCACTATTGTTTGTGTCCATGGGTTATGTATATCTAACTATATATATAAAAGCCTAAGCGACTGTTTGACCAGTAGCTATGATGTGCACTGACCACCAGGGGGCAGATGCTCAATGCACAGGCATGCAAACATGAAACAGACTGATGAATCTCAGAGGGAAGGGGGTTGGGCAGGAAGAGAATAACCAAAGATCTTATATGCATACTAGAGGCCTGGTGCACAGATTCGTGCACCAGTGGGGTCCCTCGGCCTGGCCTACGGGGATCTGTAGGGACCTGGTCTAAACTAGCAGCCCAGCATCCTCCGAGGGGTCCCAGATTTCGAGAGGGCCCAGGCCAGGCCGAGGGGCCCTATTGGTGCGCGAATCCATGCACCGGGCCTGTAGTCTATATAGAAAAGGCTAAGTGTCCCTCTGACCGTCCATCTGGCAGCTGTGACAAACACTGACCACCAGGGGTAGAGGCTCATCGTAGGAGCTGCCATGATGCGCACTGGCCTGCACCGTGGACCTGGTGCCGACAAACCAACACTCGACTTCCCCCAAGTGGGACACAGGCTCTGCCACCACCCTGGAGTGACACCCCACTAAATCGCAGTCAATGCTGCCAAGACCCCATGGTGTAAAATGCAGCCCCCAGCCCAGACCAGCCCGGAAATGGTGCTGTGGGCTCCGGGTAATGATGTCACATAGCAATGCCTGGCTTTCTCTTTCTAATGACTGGCCTCCTTGGAGTTTCTTCAGCCCAAGAATATAATTTGCTTTATTTATAGCCAGGTGCAAACATTTTGCACTAACCAAATGTTTGTGAAATGTTTTCCCATGCCTTATCTCATTTGATCCTCACAGAAGTCCTGGAGTAGGTAGATAGGAGGCTCAGTAGAAACCCATTTTCTTTTCATTAGCCGAAAAATGGAGATTTAGAAAGTTTAGAAACTTGACCCCATTGAAAAGAAATTGTGAACCTTGAAAATGACTTTAGGTTTTCTCACTGTGCAGAATATAGTCAAACTCTGCTGCAGTTAAATATTTCACCCTTTGTTCTCCCTGTGTGATCTAAATAATAATCTGCTTCATGTTGATATTTACTGCTGTATTCTGACAATTACTTGAAAGAAAAGTTGGGGTGATTCACTGAGCTGGAAAAAGTTTAGTTAAATCAGAAAGCAGGTCTAACTAAGCAAGTTTATTCTCTATATTCTTAAAAGGCTAAGTTGACTCGTGTATGCACAATACATATAAAGCCCTCGCTGGTGCCAAGCACACGCGTGTTTCCATTTGTCATCGTTGATCATGAATTTGGTTGACAGTTCAATTATAGAGAAAGGGTGAATAGTGATATTAAAATATTTCTTCTAATTAATTTCCTTTCAATTGCACGAATCTGTGCACCAGGCCTCTAGTATGCTTATAAATTCTTTAATTTCTTCCATCCCTTCTTTCCCTCTGAAATGCCTCACTCTGTTGCACGCTTTAATGTCTCTGGATCTGTTTTGTTCATCAGTTTATTTTGTTCATTAGATTCTACATATAAATGAGATCATATGATACTTGTATTTCTCTGACTATCTTATTTCACTTAGCATAATACTCTCCAGGTCCCTCCTTAAAGGGTAAAAAATGCTTCTTTTTTATAGCTGCATAGTATTCCTCTGTGTGAATGTTCCACAGCATTTTTATCCATTCATCTACTGATGGGAACTTGGGCTCTTTCCAGATCTTAGCCATTGTAAATTATGCTGCAAAATAACATAGGGGTACATATATTCTTTCTGATTGGTATATCAGGCTTCTTAGGGTATATTCGTAGAAGTGGGGGTTACTAGGTCAAATGGCATTTTTAATTTTTTGAGTAAACTCTACACTTTTCCATAGTGGTTGTACTGTTTGTCAGTTTAATTTAGAATATGTGTTTATAGGCAATTAAAGCTTTTCCCCCTGAGGAATATATTCCCAAGTTGGAAAATTTTAAAAGTCATGGCTCTTCTACCTTGGTGTTATAACTTTCCTCTTTAAGTTCTAAGAAAAGCAGAGAACCACAAAGCCAAATTGAATGTGATGTTAGTCTCTGTTTATGATTTTAGGCTCTCTTAATTCATGAATTTGTTAAATTAAAATGTAAATATACCAAAAACCTGTTATATTTCATTCAAAACTAGTATTAATAAGGAAACATAAAACATGTAGCAAAATACAGTGTACTTTAAAAAAAAATGTTTTTATTGATTTTAGAGAGAGGAGGAATGAGGGGGAGAGAGAGAGAAACATCAATCACCTGCCTTCTGTATACTCCCTACAGGGGATCGAGCCTGCAACCCAGGCATGTGCCCTGACTGAGAAGGGAACCGGGGACCTTTTGGTGCATAGGATAACACCCCACAAACTGAGCCACACGGTTCAGGCCACTCTGTATTTTTATATCTCTGTTTTAGTTAAGAGACTGATTTAAGTGCCAAAGTTATACATAACGTGTGATAGTCATAACAGTGAAGTACGTACATAAAACAATACATTGACTAATTCCCCTCATTAAGACAGGGGTAAGCATACTAAGCAGCCCTTAAAATTGTTGAGATGGTTTTTGCAAAATTAATTAAAAATCTATTGTGTTTGCCTTTGGCCTTGCTTCCTATCTTAGTCATTTTCACTTTCTGTGAATTCTAGGACTCCAAGTCATGATGCTTTTATTGTCCGCATACAAAATGTAAGATCATTTTTTTTTTTTAATGGGAAGTATCATTTCTGTTGGGAGTTTAGTGAATTCAGTTTAAAGTATGGGTGGGCTTGTAGGTGTGACTGTTCTCAATCAAGTATTAGGCAGAGGTTAAGTAACTGTTCTTTTGGAAGATGGAGGATGGGTTGTATTGAATCCTCCTAGGATCCTTATGAGGAAAGTACACTTATTTTACAGAGGAGGAAGCAGAAGCTCAAGGCAATAGACAGTGGAATCACTGTTTTGTTGTTTTTTAAAATACATATTTTATTGATTTCAGAGAGGAAGGGAGAGGGGGAGAGATATAGAAATAAAATGATGAGAATCATTGATTGGCTGCCTCCTGCACACCCGCACTAGAGATCGAGCCCATAGCCCAGACACCTGCCCTGACTGGGATTCGAACTGTCACCTCCTTGTTCATAGGTGAGCGCTCAACCACTGAGCCAGGCCTGGCAAGAATAACTTTTTAATGTCCCTGTATTGAAAGAGGGTACCCAGCCCTGGCCTGCTAGCTCAGCTGGTCAGAGTGTCATCCCAATACCTCAGGTTGGGGATTCCATCCCCAGTCAGGGCACATACAAGAATCAACCAGTGAAACCGGCTGCTCTGAAAAGCCGTCTTTGCATTGTTCTGTGGCTGCCTCTCTGCTGGCTACTGCCACCTCCACTGCGGGCCTCCTCTGCCAGCTGGGACTCCAGCAGCTTCTTCGCCAGAGTCCTCCAACTTTCACTTAAAAAAATCCGCTGCATCTGATCACTGGCGAGCTGCTCCGTTCCAGACATGGCTGTGGACACCAGCTCCAAGATCACCATCAAGGACTTAAAGAAGGAAGTTGAAGAGGAGGCAGAAAATGGAAGAGGTGCACCTGCGAATGGGAACGCTGATGAGGAAAATGGAGAGCAGGAGGCTGACAATGAGGTAGAAAAAGGAGGGGAGGAGGAAGAGGATGGAGCTGAAGATAAGGAGGCATCTATGGCAAATGGGCAGCTGAAGATGATGAGGATGACTAGATAACAAAAAAGGAAAAAGTTAAACTAAAAAAAAAAAAAGCCTTTGTGACCTATTCACTCTCCACTTCCCATAATCTAAACATGGTCACCTTCAAGTAGAGACTCTCGCCCCTGCCTGACCAACTACCCACCTGTCAATCACCCACCCAACTTGGGCAGCGCCACCTGCAGGTGACATGCACTCTTCACCACCCAACCAAAACCACAACGTGAGTTTGCAACAGGAAGGAAAAAAAACCCACAACTTCCAAGGCCCTTTTTAAAAAAAATTTTTTAAGTACTTTAAAAAGGAAAATTGGTATTTTTTATTTACATTTTATATTTCTGTACATATTGTTAGGGGTCAGCCATTTTTTAATGATCTTGGGATGACCAACCTAGTCTTTGGGTCATTCACTGTCCTACTTCTGACTTTACTTGTGGTGTGCCTTGGGGAAAAAAAGCAAAAACCACCACCAAAACCGTCTTATTCTGAGTATTCCAGTAAGTTTTTGTATATGTACTTAGCTGTACTATAAGTAGTTGGTTTATATGAGATTGCTAAAATTTCCTCCCTTTTTTTGTCTATGAAAGTTCTATTTTTTTGGCCTTTTTTGATGTATGTGTGAAACAATGTTGTCCACCAATAAATGGGAATTTTATTTTGCTGAGTTCTTACAACAAAAATCAATCAGTGAATGCAAAAATAAGTGGAACAACAAATTGATATTTTTCTCTAAATCAATAAAAAAATTAAAAGGTAATCTATATACTTATTTTCTTTAGAAAAATATTTAAAAATATTTTCAAACTTTGAATTTTCATTAGTGGTCAGTTTAGAACAATATTATTCTAAGGATGTATACACTTTTTTCTATTTGTCATGCTTATGTAGGTTTTAAAAGACTATCAAACAGAATTATGACAAAATACCTGGAGGGGCATGGTAGAGGGAGTCAATAGAGGGGGGAAAGGGCACATCTGTAATACTTTCAACAATAAAGTTAAATTAAAAATAAAAGACTTAAGCTGAAACCAGTTTGGCTCAGTGGATAGAGCATCGGCCTGCGGACTGAAAGGTCCCAGGTTCAATTCCGGTCAAGGGCATATACCTTGGTTGTGGGCACATCCCCAGTAGGGGCTGTGCAAGAGGCAGCTGGTCGATGTTTCTCTCTCATTGACGTTTCTAACTCTCTATCCCTCTCAATTCCTCTCTATGTAAAATCAATAAAATGTATTAAAAAAAAAAAAAGACATGGGTCAGTCTCATGGGCTTAAAAAAAAAAAAAAGTGAATTAGTAAAAAATGAAGTATATTGGGGTTTTAAATTTTGATTTCTCCAGGTCTTCCAGAAGAGGGCGCTTGGTGTTTACAGTAAAATTTTAGAGTTTTGTTTTTCTTTGTAGATTGGGAGTCCCCCTCTTGATCCTACTGAGCATTTTCTTCCTGAAGAAGAGAAACTTACTGAACAAGAGAGATCAAAAAGGTGAGTAGGTGTAGAAATCAGCCCTCACAGCTATTTTTCACATAGTGTAGATGATGGTTAAAAAACACGCTTTCTCTTTCAAGGCACTCATAAAAATTCTAAAATGTGGATTCTGAAATCGATTAAAGCCTTCATTTGCCACTTACTTAGATATGTGACTCTTTCATATTTAAGGATCAGTTTCCTTATCTGTCAAATAGCCATACCCAATTTAAAGGGTTGGTGAGAGGATTAAGATACATATATATGAAAGTTCTGTAAAAATTGCAAAACACTATGCAAATATTATTTTTTTTCTTCTTCATAGATTTGAGAAGGTTTATACTCATAACCTGTATTACCTGGCTCAAGTCTACCAACATAAGGAGGTGTTTGAGAAGGCCGCTCATTATTGCCACAGCACCCTAAAGCGCCAGCTTGAGCACAATGCCTACCATCCCATTGAGTGGGCTATCAATGCTGCTACCTTGTCACAGTTTTACATCAATAAGGTAAGCTTTTCGAAGTTGTTATCTAACAAAGTTACTGATAGAGAATATGAAATATAGACCACATAGTACTTTGAAAATATAATCTTAAAGCTCGGTAGCTTAGGGACATCTGACATAGAATTCAACAATGACAACAACAAAAGCATATCCACACAACTGGCACCCAGCTAGAATGGCATGGGTCTTTGTGATAGTTTTAACCAAAAAATGGCATATAAAGTAGCCAACCAGTAGCCCGTATCCTCATCTCAACAGCAATAACAAGAACTTATAGTTAAACCTTGAGAAAAATAGGTAGCTTATATTTTATGATGTAACCTAGACAGAAAAATACAGCCCAGTTTGCCAGTGTGCTAAAATTGTGTAGCTTTTGTTGCATTAATCTATTGAATCTTAATCTATTGCATTAATCTATTAATCTATTTTATGCTGCTACATAAAATAGAGTTTTATCATTATCTTATGTTTCTAGCCTCTAAAATTATATGTTACCCAAGACCAATTCTTTTTTGTTAGAAGCATGCTATCTCAATTCATTTTTAGTAAGATGTTACCTTAAAGTGCAGATTTTATTTTGTAGATATAACTTTATCTTTAGGCAGTTGTAATCTGCTGGCTATAAGAATTTGTATGAGGAAGTTGACTGTTAAATGTGGGCTTTGATAAAAGCATGTGATGCATTTCAGTTATTCTTTAGAATTAATTCCTTTATGATTTTCTATATTGAAAATATCTCTGCTCAGTTCCAGAGTTTCAGGTCTTTATGATATACTTCTCTGTAGTATTACATAGGGACTTTTAGATTTTTAGTTGTTTATCAAAATTATTAAGAATCATGTTGGTGTACTTTTAATTGACTTATTTGTTCCTCTATTCAAGATCTTGTTTTAATGCTAAAACACTTTTAAGCCACCTTTCCCAGCTATTTTGTTAATCCTCAATCAAATATCTCAGCAATAGAAATTACTTTTATTTGTATTTCTGATTCATAAGCCTCTCGGAAGTTTTGGTAATTTTTGCTTATCAGAGTTTCTCCTTAGGTCTCTGGTGGCCTGCTGCAGTATCCTTATTGGGCCCTTATCCTAAGATTTTTGTTAGTGCTGATTCTGTAAATGCACCCTATGTTTAAAGTATTGTCCTGCAGAATTCCATTCAGAAAAGCTATTAGCAGGAGAGAAAGGGCTGTGGTGTCTGCAGCACCACTTCTAGGAGTCTGGCCTAAGTAATGCTGCTGCATATGTCAGAGCATCCAGTTAAATGTAATCGTGCCTCCCTTCTATTGTGGCCATCATCAAAAAGTGTTATCTTGTGCCTCTGCTTGTGGCACCATTTTTATAGCTTCTGGGGGCCTCTTATTTGTTTCAAAGTTACATAGTCACTGTGATTTTAATGATCACTTTAAACAATGTTGGTATTGATAATACTTAGATATCTAGATATTAAAGTGTAATTTAAAATATAAAGTTGTTAAATATTGCTTTTATGGAGCATGCAATAATTTTCATGAGTACCTGCCCTATGCCTTGTGCTTTTTTTTTTTTTTTTTTTTTTTTTTACAAGGATGGCTTATAAGTTTTTGTTACAGCTGGCTAAGTTGTATTACAGAGAGATTTGAACCATGTTTTTAAAAAAGCAGCTGCCATTTATACCTTCTTCATCTTCATCTGGTTCCAGAGATGAGGTTTTGCTACTTGTTGGGTCCCTCCCTGGCAGGTGCTCACCCACATTTACCAGCCACCTCCAGGGCAGGGCACAGAGCGGCACTCACTGCTCTAGCCGTGGCTGCTCAGGGAACCAGCCCGTCTGGAGAAAGCGGCGGTGGTCATGAGGCGGAGGGGTTGTGGAGGGACAATTAAAGCTGCTCATGTAAATGAACTTGTTTTTTTTTTTGAGGTTTAACACTAACACTTTGATCTGTAGATGTTGTTGGGCTAATACTACACATGGTCCCCAGATATTCTCAAGATGGTTTCTGAATTTGCTTAGGGAGGGCTACATTCAATGTTGAGATTTTAAAGTCATAGCTAACTATTAAGAATCTTCTTAGCAAAATCAGGTAAGTATATCTAACATGACGCAGACATATTTATGAGGATGGCTTCCAACTAAAAGTTGGACTTGAACTTTGTATCTTTGCTGGGTGGCCTGTGACTTACACGATAAATGCAAAGTGTTCACATTAACAAGATCTTCTCCAAGCATTTGAGAAGTTTACTAAGCCCAGATTTGAATTACAAAGTCTTCAAGTATGTTGGTAAAGCAGTTTCGTAAAGTTTGTCTGTGGAAAGTCATTGACATCAAAACTTGGTGGGAATTCTCATACAATAGAAGATTTTTAGAAGACAGGAATCTCTTCCTATCATTTATTATTTTTGCCTTTGAATGGTAGGATATAAAAGGGATCTCTAAACCTAAAAAATCAAATCCTTAAGTCCTCCGACAGAATGTAGATCTAAGAAGTTATCGTGCACATAACTTTGGCTCTTTGGGCAGAACCTGAAGATGATCTGAGGCACCTGGAATCTATGATGTAGCTATTGTTGTAGACTTACCAGTTACCTGAGGAGAGCCATCTCAGTCAGCAGCTGCCTTCCAGTCAGTTTGGATTAAGAGTTTGGGGGCATTGTACTTCTTTGAGGCAGTCTTTAACTCGATAATACCATCACATGTCTCATAAACCTTCTTAATGTTCGGCGACTTACTGGTTTTCACCTGATTTTAATAGCTTTTCCCATATCAATTGTAAATAAGGTTGTTGGACAGTTACATTTACTCTTGTTTATTTCCTTAACAGCAATGCTTTATGGAGGCCAGGCATTGTTTATCAGCTGCTAATGTCATTTTTGGTCAAATTGGAAAGAATCCAACCACAGAAGACAGTAAGTTTATGTGTACATGTTTTATTATATATAGCTTTTTAAAACTTTCAAATAATTCCTAACTTTAGAAAATTCAAGAACAAAACAAAAAACTACCTACTATATGACCTTCTAAATTCACCTGTTTTTAATATTTGCCTCATTTGCAGTCACATTTTTCTTTCTGAACTATTTGAGAGAAGTTTGCATACATTAGGCTACTTTACTCCTTAATACTTCAATGTGTATTTCTTAAGAATAAGGATGTTTTATGTAATCATAGAAAAAGAAATGATTACATCTATTATCTCTAATGCATATTTCTATTTCATTAATTGTCCTCATAATGTCCTTTATAGCAGTTCTTTTCTAGTACCTGAATTTCCAGTTCAAGATTGCATATTGCGTTTAGGTTTCACACCTCTTTATTTTTTTAAATATATTCTTTTATTGATTTTTTTACAGTGAGGAATGGAGAGGGATAGAGTTAAAAACATCAATGAGAAACAATGATTAGCTGCCTCCTGCACACCTCCTACTAGGGATGTGGCTGAAACCTAGGTACATGCCCTTGACCAGAATTGAACCTGAGACCCTTCAGTTCCACAGGCCAATGCTCATCCACTGAGCCAAACCAGTGAGGGCAGTTTTCACATCTCTTTAGTCTTTTTAAATCTGGAACGTTCCTCAACTGCTGTCTTTCATCATGTAGACATTTTTAAAAATACAGGTCAGTCATTTCATAGAATTTTCCTCAGTTGGCATGTTGATGTTTTCTTACACTAAGATTCAGGTTACAATAGTACCCCCTTACTTAAAGGGGATATGTTCCAGGACGCCCAGTGGATTCCTGGAAACTGTGATTAGTATTGAACTATTTTTTTTTCTTGTTTATACATACCTACTATAAAGTTTAAACTACTCTTGTGCTTTGGGCCACTGTTAGGTAAAATGAGGGTTATTTGCACACAAGCACTGTGATACCAGCTGCAATCGATCTAAGTGACTACTAAGTGTCTACTAGCAGGTAGTGTTTGCATAGCGAGGATACACTGGACAAAGGGATGGAATAGGACAGTATGAGATGTCATTACACTAAGAATGGCATGCAATTTTAAAACTTGAGTTATTTCTGTAATTTTCCATTTAATATTTTCAGACCGTTGTTGAACTCGGGGAATTGAAACCATGGAAAGCAAGACCACAAAAAAGGGGGCGCTGCTATATACATTTTTGGTTGGAATACTACATAAGTGTGCAAATATCTAATTTTTATTTTATTTACTTATTTATTTAAAAAAATACATTTTATTGATTTTTTACAGAGAGGAAGAGCGAGGGATAGAGAGTTAGAAACATCAATGAGAGAATCATCGATCAGCTGCCTCTTGCACATCCCCTTACTGGGGACGTGCCCACAACCAAGGTACATGCCCTTGACCGGAATCGAACCCGGGACCTTTCAGTCTGCAGGCAGATGCTCTATCCACTGCAGATATCTAATTTTTAAGTTAGTGTTTTATTTAGTCTTAAAAATGAGCAAATCAATGAGATAATCACTTCACACTTGTTAGATAAAAAAGTCATGAAATAAATGTTGGCGAAAATGTGGAGAAAGGGGACCCTTGTGTACTTTTGGGTAAATTGGTGCAGCCACTATGGAAAACAGTATGGAGGTTCCTCAAAAAATAAAAATAGAGCTACCTGATGAACCAGCAATTCCACTTCTGGTTATACACTGAGTGGCCAGATTATTATGATCTCTGAACGCATAATAATCTGGCCACTCAGTATATATATATATATATTAGAGGCGTGGTGCTTGAATGTATGAATTCGTACATGGGTGGGGTCCGGCCAGCCTGGCTGGGGGGGAACATGGATGGTTGCCTGGCCTGCCTGCTGGTCGAACGCCTGGTCAAAGGGACAGTTTGCATATTAGCCTTTTATTATATATGATATACACTGAATGGCCATATTATTATGTGTCCAGAGATCATAATAACCTGGCCATTCAGTGTACTTCCAAAGGAAAGGAAAACACCCGAAGAATATCTGCACTGCAGCAATATTTATAATAGCCAAAGTTGGAAGCAACCTAAGTTTGTCTGTGGCTGAATGGATAATGAAAATGTAGCATATATATTCAATGGAATATTAGAAGGAAATTTTTTATTTAGAGAAAGATACAAACTTCCAGTTTTAAAATAATTAAATCATGGGTTGTAATATATAGTATGGTTAACTGTATACATATTTGGAAGTTGCTAAGAGTAAATCTTAAAAGTCCTCGTCACAAGAAAAAAATTTGTGGCTGTATGGTGATGGATGTTAACTAGACTTGTGATTATTTTGCAATATTGCAAATATCAATCACATACATCTGAAGCTAATATAATAATATATGTCAGTAATATCTCAATTAAAAAATACTTCCCATATAAAATCTGTAACATGCTTGCACAGGTCCCTGAACACATTTTAGTAAGGTATCAATCTAGTAACTTACTTTCAAACCGTAAGGAATTCAAGAACCCATTTCTGTGAAGGAAAGATTAAGGACTTCATATCTAAGTGCAGGTTCCAAAGTAAGGTCAGTCCTCATTATTTGAGGATTTCATGTTTGGGAATTCACCTGCCTGCTACAATTTACTTGTAACCCCAAGTCAGTGCTCGAGGCACAAACTTCATTTGCTGGCATGTGCTGAATAGCAGAGAATTTGAGTTGTCCAAGGTGCACATTTCCCAGGTGAGGTTTCAGCTCTCATACTGTAAAACAAGTGTCTTTTTTGTGGTCTGTTTAGTGTGACATTTTTGTGCTTTTTGTTGGTGATTTCATTACTTATAATGGCCCCGAATGGAGTGCTGAAGTGCTGCCTAGTGTGAAGGCCGTGCTGTGCCTTATGGAGAAAATGCAGTGTGACGTAAGCTTCATTCAGGCTTACAGTGCTGTTAGCCAAGAATTCAGTGTTAATGCATATTAAATAAGATGTCTTTAAATAAACACTTGTCTAATAAGGTTTTATATTGATCAGTTGACAAAAATGGGACCAGAAGCTCATAGGAACCTAACCCTGTGTTTCCTGGAGGAGGAATGTTTCAGTATTTGCTCATTTACTGTTCACAGTGACTTTATAAAACATAATTACATGAACAGTGAGAATCAACTATTATAAGAGAATTCAGGTAGAAAGTTTTAAAAGAGAATTCAGGTAGAAAGTTTTATAGTTTAAAAGTCCCTTTTTCTACTGAAACGAATGTTCATCTGAAGGAGGCAATCCAAGCCTCTGGTAACTTACATCAGGGCTGTCCTGTGGCGCTTAGGGGTGAGTTGATTCTCTCCCTGTAGGACGGGTCAGTGCTACAGCTGTCTGGGCCTTGGTGGTGTTGGTGGCACACCCTTATTGATGAAAACTACAGAGGAAAGTATGTGGATTAATAACTATACCGTTACTTCATGTTACAAAGGATTTTTTAAAATACTGGTGAAAACCAAAATAATTTAAACCAAATTTATTGTATTTATAATTTTTAAAATTTTCTTGCAAAAGGGAACACCTTTCACAAATGCAAAAATATTTTGGTAAAGCTGGACATGGGACTTGTTACAAAATTTAATAATTGGCCCTTAACTAAACCTCCACCATCATTCTGAACGTTATTTTGGAGGATGTCTTCCACTAAGGACTACTTTTAATTAATTAGAAATCTATTTCAATTTGGATTCCATTAATTTGGAATTTTTGATAAGTTGGTTAGGAGCTATGCTAATCTTCACTTGTTTAGCACTATTTATTAACAGAGACCACAGCATAGGGAAGGTGGTAAAAGAAAATGTTTAAATAATTAGAGGAAACTGCTTTTCAACTACCTCATAAGGATTCATTTATAGCATGAAATATAGAATTCATATTTTTATTAAAGTAGGTATTCTAAAAACCTGTATGAGTGATGCTTTTCTTAGTCCAGTTTGATTAATAATGATGTTGAACACCTACATGTACTATTATCCTGTCCTAAATTCTTCTTGGGTATCATCTTATTAATCCTCATAGCAATACTGTTTGACAGTCGCTGTTACATTCTGTACTTTACCGATAGGGAACTGGAGCACAGAGAGCTCCAACGGCTGCCCCGTGTCACACATAGTGGGGGCAGAGGTGGCATTCAGACGCAAGCAAGCCCAGAACCCCATTGCTTGAGCCAAAAGACCTCTTTCCTACCTCATGCCCCTCCGACCTCCTCCACTGGCCGGAGATGAAAAAGCTCTCTGGAGGGTGGGGGACTCTGCAGCCTTAAGAAGGCTTGGAAATAAGGCTCAGATGAAATTAAACTTAGGCCCTGGCTAGCGTGGCTCAGTTGGTAGGAGTGTCATCCTGCACATCAAAAGGTCTGGGTTCGATTCCTGATCAGAGCACATACCTAGGTTGCTGTTGCAATTCCCGTCCCCAGTCCAGGCACTTATGAGAGGCAACCAATCAATGTTACTCACATTGATGTGTTCCCCCCTCCCCCCTTCTCTGCTCTTAAATATCAGTGGAAAGGTCCTCGGGTGAAGGTTTAAGAAAAACTTAGTATGAAGTTTGGGAACAAGTCTGTGATCATGATAGTAAACATTCGTTTCTAATAAGATGCTTGAAATATCTAAGACATGCATTCTGAATAGGGTAAAAATTGTTTTGTAGAGCCCTAGCCAGTTTGGCTCAGTGGATAGAGTGTCAGCCTGCGGACTGAAGGGTCCCAGGTTCGATTCCAGGTCAAGGGCACGTACCTAGTTTGTAGTCTTGATCCCTGGCCCCAGTCTTTCTCACATAAATGTTTCTCCTGTGTCTCCCCTTCCTTTTACACTCTAAAAATCAATGGAGAAATATCCTAGGGTGAGGATTATACAATAGTAACAACAACAAAAAATGTTTCTTGGGAAGTGAAAAAAAAATTATAAAATTTTCATAGCATATAGTATTACAGTCAGTCATACTACAGTATTGAAAACATTATCTTTTTGAAAAACCACTTATCTGTGATAAGGTGATACCTAGTTTTTCCAATTGCGAGAGAGAGAAGCATACTGTATGTTAATAGAATGTTTGAAAGCCAAGTTATGAAACAGTAAGAAAATGAAAAATTTACTAATTTTACACTAAATGTCACTCACCTTATGCCTATGGGATAGGCTGTCCGCTTCAGGTCTTGTACATGATGTCCTTACACAATGAATACTTAGGTGATAACAAAAATGTCTCATACAGTTATTAGATTTTCACATGGAGACAGGCCTACACAGCAAAGTTCATTAGCTTTGCAGCATGATGAGGATTTACTTACTATTCATTAAGTGGAAGTGGGTCATCATGAAAGTCTTCACCCTAGTCTTCACGCTGGGGTGTGCCGAGTAATCTGGCTGGCAGAAGCAGAAGAGGTGGAGTGGAGGCAGGCACACTCTTAACTTTACAGAAATACCTTTATTTTCTGTCTGACTTTCCTGCTTTTTCATTTCTCTAAAAATGTTTGTTTAGTACCAATCCTTCCACATTTGCTTTACTGTGCCTGTATCACAGAAGGGTTCTTGTCATGAAATAAGTAAAAAGCAGTCTTGAATAATCAAACCCTTCTGCTAGATTGACGCAGACCAGTTTGCGTTCTGGCTCTGCCTCTGCACCTGCCTCCTCTGCCTCTTCCTCTGGCACTGGTTCGGATGCCCTCATCGTCATCTTGTCTTCTGGTGTAATGTCTTCTAGCTCTTGAATTTCTCCAAGATTCTTTTTTTTTTTTGTAATATTTACAATCTCACAATTTCCTTGATTGGCTCTGTCATAAATTCTGTGAAGTCATGCACATCATCTGGACAGTTAAGAGCAGGAATTTATTGTTTTGGGCTTGATGGCTTTCATGGCTTTTTCTATAACAACATGGCATCTCCGATGGTGTAATCCTTCTAGACTTTCTCTTGGGGTCCACTTCCCTATGGCGGCAATCCTTTCCATAGAGTACCCTGCCTGGTACAAAGACCTTAAAGGTCTTTGTGATCCCCTGATCTAGAGGCTGAATTAGAGATGTGTTTGGGGCCAAGTAGATAACTTAGATGCCTTTGGTGTTGAACTCGTGGGGTCTGGATGGCCGGGGGCACTGTCCAATATTAAAAGAACTTTAAAAGCTAGTCCCTTACTGGCAAGTTAATTCTTGACTTTAGGGACAAAGCATCAATTGAACCAACTGAGAAAAAGGGTTTTGTCCAAGCTTTCTTGTTGACTGAAAACTGGCATTTATCCTTTCCCTTCCAGGCTCAGGGTTGGCAGCATTATATATAAGGACATTCCTGATCACAACCCAACTGCATTTGCACAGAACAGCAGAGCTAGGCTATCCTTCCTGTCTTAAATGCTGGCGCTTGCTTCTCTGCCTTATTAATAAATGTCCTTTGTGGCTTCCCCCCACCCCCAGATTAGTGCACTTTCCTCTGCAAAAGAAACTGTTCAGGCAGATATCCTTTCTCCACAGTGGTTTTCTGAATAGCATCTAGGAACCTGTCTGCTGCCTCTTGGTTGACAAGAAGCTGCTTCTCTATTACCTTGAGATTTTGAAGCCAAACCTCTTTCTAAAAGTATCAAATCATTCATTGCTGGCAGTAACTTCTCCAGCTTTAGATCCTTCACCTTCCTTTTGCTTTAAACTGTCAAATAGTGACTTTGCTTTTTCTCAAATCATATTTGGTATGCCTCAAATCTATAGATATGCCTTTCTTAAGCAATCCTGCACCCACACGGAGAATCAGATAAAACATATTTTGCAAAAAGTTCAAGTTTTTCATGCCTACTTGTGTAGTTACAGTAACAGCTTCACTTTTTTTTTTTTTTTTTTTTTTTTTTTTAACACCGATTCTTATACTGGATTCATTTATCTTGAAATGGCAGCAGTTGCGGCTACAGAACTCCATCTACAGTACTTACTGAGCAATTCAACTTTTTTCTTGTCATGCCACGTCTTTTTCTCTGCTTCTTGGGAGTACTTCCAAAGGTAGTGCTAGAGGCACTTTGTTTGGCACCATGGTGTTATTCAAGACTTACAGTGTTGCACTAAATATGACAAAAAATACTGAGAGATCACTTTTTACTGCAATATGCAATTTACCGGGGAAATAAACTGCTCAGAGATGATTAGCATTTACACAGCATTTTAGCAGATACTTGCAATACTTGAATTCACTGCAATAGCAACAGGAGGTGGCTATAAAATTATACAGTAGTATAGAATGTATTAGTTATTTTACTTTTAAATCATAATTTACAGTTATGATTAGGTATTGCATCTGTATGTTTGTTTACATTGCTCTCAATTGTGAATGGCACTGTATATGATCTATTAATGCACAAATTTGGTAAATTTTAATTTTTTAAAATATAGTTTTATTGATTTCAGAGAGGAAAGGAAAGGACGAGAGAGAGAAACCATCAATGATGAGAATCATTGATCGGTTGCCTCCTGCATGGTCCCCACTGGAATTGAGCCTGCAACCTAGGCATGTGCCCTGACTGAGAATCGAACCATGACCTCCTGCTTCAGAGGTTGACACTCAACTACTGAGCCACACTGGCCAGGTGTAAAGCTATATATCTACAGGTGAAAACCTTAGTTTTCACCTGTAGATAATACATAAGAAAAAAAACTAGAAAAAAATATGCAAAAATAATATCTCTGGGTGGTAGGGATTTGGAGTGGGGTATTTTTTCCAGTGCTTCAGTGAGAATCTTATTTATATAAATCAGGAAAAAGCGGTATAAAAAAGAATGCATGCCCAGCCTGCGTGGTTCAGTGGTTGAATGTTGACCTATGAACCAAGTAGTCACGGTTCGATTCCTGATCAGGGCATATGCCCAGGTTGCAGGCTCAATTCCTAATATGGGTGTGCAAGAGGCAGAAGATCAGTGATTCTCTCTCATCATGGATGTTTCTATCTCTGTCTTCCTCTCTCCCTTCCTATCTGAAATAAAAATATATTTTTTAAAAAGAATGAGTAACAATGAACATTACAATTGTGACCATTAACTTAGACAAATCATGTTTATAATTTTAGCTACTGAAACTGAAGGAGATGTGCCAGAGCTTTATCATCAAAGAAAAGGGGAAATAGCAAGATGCTGGATCAAATACTGTTTGACACTCATGCAGAATGCTCAACATTCAATGCAGGTAATGCAGTCAGGAGTTGCCTTTTCTTAAATGAGCAGGACATAAAAGCTTAAAATGGGGATTATGCTTCTTGGGCTCATTGCATGTTCATTATGCAAAACATGCAGAATGCTCTCATAAGTATTTCTTACTCTTTTAAAATCTTATGTACTGTTCAAGGCCTATCTCAAATACCACTTCTTCCTTGAAGACTTTCCTTTGGATAGAATATAATTCCCTGAGAAGTGGGGTCTACATCATATTTATATTATCTAGAGGCCCGGTGCACAAAATTTGTGTGTGTGGAGGCGTGTCCCTCAGCCCAGCCTGTGCCCTCTTGCAGTCCAGGACCCCTCATTCCTTACTGTGCACCTGCTCGCTGCTCCTTAGCGCTGCTGTGGAGGCGGGAGAAGCTCCAGCTACCACCGCTGCGCCTGCCAGCCATCAGCCTGGCTTCTGGCTGAATGGCGCTCCCCCTGTGGGAGCACACTGACCACCAGAGGGGGCAGCTCCTGCATTGAGCATCTGCCCCCTCGTGGTCAGTGCGCATCATAGTGACCGGTCATTCTGGTCGTTCTGCCGTAAAGGTCTCTTAGGCTTTTATTATTTTATTTTTTTAAAATATATTTTATTGATTCTTTACAGAGAGGAAGAGGGAGGGACAGAGAGCTAGAAACATCGATGAGAGAGACATCGATCAGCTGCCTCTTGCACACCCCTCACTGGTGACGTGCCTGCAACCAAGGCACATGCCCTTGACCGGAATCGATCCTGGGACCCTTCAGTTTGCAAGCCGATGCTCTATCCACTGAGCCAAACCGGTCTCGGCTAGGATTTTATTATATAGATCACCATTCTTCAGGTACACTAGGTTCAATAAGTAGTGATTAAATGCATAATTATTCTCCCCCTGCAAATATCTCCTTCCTGTAAGCTCCATAGAACTTTTCTTACCCCTTCCTAAGTCATTAAGTTCTGCTTTGTACTATCCCTATTCATGTTCCTTTTCCTCTTTAGACTATAAGTAACTTGGGAGCAGAAAACAATTCTTACTAATCTTATATATTTTAAGCAGTATATGTATAGGATGTATAGGATGGGGCAAAAGTTTACAGTTGTTTACAATTGGAAAATAACAGTAATTAACACAACAGTTCATACATATAGTCACAGCTATAACTTTTTTCTCACCCTGTGAATATGTGTATTCATAAAAATAAATATAAACATATTTGGAAACAGCCCTGTCAGTTTGTAGCTATGAGACACAAGATGCTGGCTGCCCACATAATATTATAGGAGGAAGTAGCATTTGAAGTGTGCTCAGGGACAGAGTGGGATGACCTGGGCTGGAGAAAGGGGAGACCGTTCCCAGGGGCTGACGCAGCATATTAGAAAGATCTAGGGCGTAGGGAGCATGGTACCAGAAGGGAGGAAACAGGCCTGTGAGGCTGCATGAGAGAGAGAGAACATGTGATGGAAGAGAGTTAAAGGGGCTGGAACATGCAGGGCCTTTTAGGAATGGAAGGCTAGGAGGGTTTTGGAACAGTCACTTTGGTGGTAGAATGGAGAGCGAATTGAGGGAAAGCAAGAGTGGCTGAGGGAGATTAGTTAGAAGACCACAGCAGTCAGGTGAGATGTGAAGGTGGCGTGGCCCAAGGTGGTGGCAGAAGAAAAGAATGGATTCACGAGTTATTTTAGAACAGGGGTGTCCAACTGGTGGTCCCCGGGCCACTGGTGGTCTGTGAGATCCGAAAGGTTGTCAACCGCTAGTTTAGAAACCGAAGCATTAAGGACCTGGTGATGGACTTGAAATGTGGGGTAAAAGGACAAGAGACTTCTCAAGGATGATTCCTAGGTTGCTGGCTGTCCACATGGATGAAGTGTTCTTCCCTGAGATAACACTAGGACAGGATCAGGCTCCCACCTGCTGAAGAAGCACAGGGGTTCCGTTGTGGACGTGCTGAGATGCCTCTGGATCGAGCATGTCAAACTCAAAGGCTCACACTGGCCAAATAAGCCAGGCATGCAGCCCACGGGCCGAGTTTCACAGGCTTGCTCTGACTCCTCTGAGAGGAGATGCCACTTCGGGAGCTGTGGCTGAGCTTGAGGAGAGGTCTGGGCTGTAGCTGTACACTTCGGGGCCTCCTCACATGAATGGCAGAGGTAGCATGGTGAAAGGCGTCACCTGTTTAGAGCAGTGCTGTCCCATAGAAATACAATGCTAGCTATATTTGTGATTCTAATTTCCTAGTGGCCACTTAGAAAAGGGGGAAGCCCAGCCAGCGTGGCTCAGTGGTTGAGGGTCGACCTATGAACCAGCAGGCCACGGTTCAATTCCCGGTCAGGGCACAGGCCCAGATTGGGAGTGTGCAGGAGGCAGCCAATCAGTGACTCGTCATTAATGTTTTTGAGTGTCTCCCTTCTGCTCTGAAATCAATAAAAAAAAATATTTTTTTAAAAAAAGCAGGTGAAATTAATTTTAATTCTACTTTTAATCCAGAATATAAAAAATACTGTCATTTCTATATGTCATCAATATTAAAAACTAAGAAATATTTTAAGTTTCCAATTGGAAATTTGTTTATACAAAAATTTCTTGGAAATTAATTATTTTACATAGCCCATGACTCAGTTTGGACTTGTCACATTTCAACTGCTCAATAATTATCCATATCATGGCTCTTATTTTGAACAATGTAGGAGAGAGACAAAAATCAAGAGAAAAAAAGGAAAGGTCTTCAGGTTGAATATTAAGGGATCTGACCATTTTATTAGGTAGCATGAGGAGGGTGAGCTTAATTTTTGTTAATCCTCACCAAAGGACATTTTTTCCAATGGTTTTTAAAGAGAGTATAGGGAGGGAGGGTTTGGGAGTGGAAGTGGGTGAAATGAGACAGAGACAGAGAGACTTGGATCTGAGAGACACATCAATTGGTTGCCTCCTGCACATACTCTGACCAGGCCAGGGATTGAATGTGCAACTCAGCTACATACCTTTGATGGGACATTGAACCCTCAACCCTTCAGTGCGCAGGCTGATGCTCCCACACTGGCCAGGGCTTACTCTATTTTTAAACCATTTTAATTATATATACACACACACACACACACACACACACACACACACACACACATATATATATATATATATATATATGTGTGTGTGTGTGTGTGTGTGTGTGTGTGTGTGTGTGTGTGTATATATATATATATATATTTATTTTTTTTTTTGCCCCAGGAGGAAGAGAGAACTTTTAACTATAAAGTTAGATTTAACTCTATCTTTAATGTCGTTAAAATACCTCGAGTATTTCTCTGTACTATATTTCACTAAAACTTATCTGTAGCATAAACATATCATTAATCTTAATGACATGTCTGTGAAATATTTTTAGGATTTATATTACAGTTTTACTCAGTTAAAATCTAATAATGTATTACATGTATATAATGTTTCACAGTGTTTAAAGTTCTTTCATATGTAGTTATCTTACCTGAAGGAGTAACTTATAAATAAGTTTGAGTCCCAAAAGAGAAATTAATATGTCCTGGCTGTTGCACTCAGTTGGCTGCATTGTCGTCCCATACACCAAAAGGTAGTGGATTCAATACCCAATGAGGGTACATACAGGAGGCAACCAATTGAAGTTTTATCCTTCACATCAATGTTTCTCTCTCTCTCCACTCAATAAAAAAATAAATAGGAATAAAGGTTTATAAATGGTTAATCTATTTAAATACTTCTTCCAAATTTCTTGTGTTTTTAATATAATTGAAATACAATTTCTCAGAGGAAAGGGAGGGAGGGTGGTGAGAGGGAAGTAATCAACCAAAAACCTTGTATGCATATATGCATAACCCAAGGACACAGACAATAGGGTGCTGAAGGCCTACGGCAGGGTGGGCTGGAGCCTGGGGGCCATCTGGAGTGGGTCAGTGGTGGTGGGGGGAGACATATGTAAAAGATAAAAATACAATTAGAAGAAATCTTTTACAAGATGCTTAATGGGAGAACACCTGAACTTGCTGCCACACACAACCATATCAAAACTATAACTAAAAGACAAAACAAATATCATCCAGAACCATGGAAAGGCTGGCTGAGTGGGAATTCTACAACTATTGGGTCTAGTAATAATTAATGTCGTTTTTAAACATTCGTTTAAAATCTTGCTTGGCGTTGACTTGTATTGACATATAACCTTCAAACACGTGGTATCTACAGAACGTGTGAAGTGCAATTAACAAGTTTTGCTTGAAAAAGTTTGTTTGGTTTGGTTTTTGTTGCAAAACTAGGGCTAAGAAGATGGCGGATGAAGAGCATATTCGGCACTGCATGCTTTACGAGTTCCAATTAGGAAGCAAGTGAGGCTGCAAAAAACATCTGTAGTGCTCTTGGTCAAGATGCAGTTAGCGCCAGAAAATGCCAGCGTTGATTTGAGAAATTTCGCGAGGGAAATTTTTCGTTAGATGACAAGAGTGGTCGAGGCCGTGTGTCCAATTTTGATCAAGAAGCTCTTCAAGCTCTTTTGGTGCAAAATCCTCAAATTACCCAACAAGAGCTTGCGACAACTTTAAATGGTTCACAAAAAACAATTTCCAATCAATTGCGTGCACTTGGCAAAGTCCAAAAGTTTGGAAAATGGGTTTCTCATGAGTTGACCGACAACAACCGTAATCAAAGAGTCACAATTTGCAGTTCGCTCCTCTCTCGTCAAAACCGTTTGCCGTTTTTAGAGCAAATTGTTACCGGAGATGAAAAATGGGTGCCGTATGTTAATTTGAAAAGGCGGCCTCAATGGTTGGACAAAAATGAGGCTCCGCAGCCCACGCCAAAACCTGACTTGCATGCGAAAAAAGTGATGTTGTGTGTTTGGTGAAATTTTAAAGGAATTCTTCATTATGAACTTTTACCATCTAACCAAACCATTACAAGTGCAAGTGTATAGTGCCCAATTGGAAAGGTTAGCCCAAGCTTTAAGAGAAAAAGAACCCGCGCTGATTAATCGGAAGGGCGTAATTCTTCACCACGATAACGCACGACCGCATACTGCAAGAATCACTGCTGAAAAACTGCGCCAGTTGGAATGGGAAGTTCTCCCTCAACCTGCATATTCTCCTGATATTGCCCCTTCCGATTACCATTTGTTTCGTTCTTTGCAAAACTTTCTTCTTGGAAAAAAATTTAATAATGAAGAATGCCTCAAAAATGCATTGACCGAATTTTTTGCATCAAAATCACAAGAATTTTACAACAGAGGGATTAAAATGCTTCCTGAGCGTTGGGCACAAGTAGTAGAAAACAACGGCAACTATATTGTTGATTAAATTTTGTTGAATTGTTTAAATAAATTCGATTTAAAAAAGTATTAGAAAACGACATTAATTATTACTAGACCTAATAGAAGGAAAGAGAAACGCGCAGAGTCCGGTAGGAGGTGCAGAGGTATGGGTGTGGAGGTATGGAAATGCGCGCGAAGGGGCTGGCACCTGAGTACGCTGTTGTCTTCTTCAGTCTGAAGGGAGATATAAGCTCCCAGTTGTTCTGAACTCCAGTTCTGGGCGAGACTCAGGGGACCCAGACTCATACAGAGAGAAACTGGACTGTCTGGCACTGGGCTAGGACACGAGGGCGGCACTCTCTCAGAGGGGCTTGCAATGATCATTGTCCCTGCATGGTGTCGCGGGACACAGAGACCCGAGGGCCTCTTTGGGGCAGGGCTGATGGGCAGCTATTGCCCTTTTTCTGCCCTGGAGATTCCCTGAGACCCTGCCCCACCCAATTTACAACCGCACCCAAGCTATGTGAAGAGGCTTTTGAATACGAATGGACTGGCCTTTTGCAATCTAAAACCTAACAAACTGGCCCTAACCGGTTTGGCTCAGTGGATAGAGCATCGGCCTGCAGACTGAAGGGTCCCAGGTTTGATTCCGGTCAGGGGCATGTACTTTGGTTGCAGGCACATCCCTGGTGGGAGGTATGGTGTGCAGGAAGCAGCTGATCGATGTTTCTCTCTCATTGATGTTTCTAATTCTCTATCCGTCTATTTTCCTCTGTAAAAAATCAAAATATATTTAAACAAACAAACTGCAGCTGTGTCAGAGAGCTCCAGGGCTCCACAGCAGCTTGCATTGATTCACAGCTGGGCCTCATTTGGGCACCTATAAACCCCAAACAAAAGAGGAAGAATCTCCCTAACTGGTTTGACTCAGTGGATAGTGTTGGCCTTCCGACTGAAGGGTCCCAGGTTCGATTCTGCTCAAGGGCATGTATCTTGGTTGCAGGCACATCCCCAGTGGTGGGGGGATGTGCAGGAGGCAGCTGATCAATATTTCTCTCTCATCGATGTTTATAGCTCTCTATCCTTCTCCCTTCCTCTCTGTAAAAAATAAAAATATATTTAGGGGGGGAAAAGAGAAAGAATCTGCAGATCTCTCTGTAGCTTCTGCTAGGTGGCTAGGTGGCCTCCGACAGTGGCTGACTTTGCACCTCCTTGGAAATCTAAGAGCCAATGTACCCACTGGTCAGATTACAACTCTTCACATCCACGCCGAAACCGGTTTGGCTCAGTGGTAGAGCATCGGTCTGCGGACTGAAGGTTCCCGGGTTCGATTCTGGTAAAGGGCATGTACCTTGGTTGTGGGCATATCCCCGGTAGGGGGTGTGCAAGAGGCAGCTGGTCGATGTTTCTCTCTCATCGACGTTTCTAGCTCTCTCTCTCTCTCTCTCCCTCTCTGTAAAAAATCAGTAAAATATATTTTTTTTAAAAAACAAAAAAACTCTTCACATCCATAAGAGACACATTCAAGGGGGCAAACTCAGTAAGTACCAAAGCCCCAATGAAGCAAGTCCTGCCCCATAAGGGTGTCTCCAGCACAGAAGTTCTCCCATTGTAGACACAACTGGTCCTCACAGCCAATTGGCCTGGAGGTCTATTCCTCCCAGTGATATCAACAACAATCAAGGCTTAACTACAACAAGACTGTGCACACAGCCCACAAAGGGGTGCACCAAGAGTGTCCACCTCAGGTAATTAGGGAGGCTGGGCCACTGGGCCCTATAGGACACCTAGCACACAAAGCCATTCTATCAACACAGGGAAGCAGCCAAAATGAGGAGGCAAAGAAATAGGTCACAAATGAAAGAAATGGAGGAAAGCAAACGACTGGATATAGAGTTCAAAACCACGATTATAAGGTTTTTTTCAAGAATTTTCTAAAAAAGGCCGATAAATTTAGTGAGACCCTTGAGGATATGAAAAAGAACCAACTAGAAATGTATGCTTTATTTCAGCATACACCGACTGAAATAAAGACTAATATACAGAGTTCCAACAGCAGACTAGAGGAATGCAAGAATCAAGTCAAAGATTTGACATAGGAAGAAGCAAAAAACACCCAACCAGAAAAGCAAAAAGAAAAAGGAGTCCAAAAATAAGAAGATAGTGCAAAGAGCCTCTGAGACAACCTCAAGTGTACCAACATCAGAATTATGGGGGGCCCAAGGAAGATAGCAAGATATTGAAAATCCATTTGAAGAAATAATGACAGAAAACTTCCCTCGCCTGGTGAAAGAAATAGACCTACAAGTGCAGAAAGCTCAGAGAACCCGAAACAAAAGGAATCCAAAGAGGACCACACCAAGACGCATCATAATTAAAATGCCAAGGGCAAAAGACAGAGAATCTTACAAGCAGCAAGAGAAAAATAGTTACCTACAAGGGAGTACCCATACGAATGTCAGTTGATTTCTCAACAGAAATTATGCAGGCCAGAAGGGAGTGGCAAGAAATATTCAAAGTAATGAGCCGAAACCGGTTTGGCTCAGCGGTAGAGCATTAGTCTGCGGACTGAGGTGTCCCAGGTTCGATTCTGGTCAGGGGCATGTACATTGGTTGTGGGCACATCCCCGGTAGGGGGTGTGCAAGAGGCAGCTGGTTGATGATTCTCTCTCATCGATGTTTCTAGCTCTCTATCCCTCTTCCTTCCTTTCTGTAAAAAAAAAATCAATAAAATATATTTTTAAAAAAATATTCAAAGTAATGAATAACAAGAACCTACAACCAAGATTACCTAGCAAAGCTATCATTCAGAATTGAAGATCAGATAAAGAGCTTCACAGATAAGAAAAAGCTAAAGGAGTTCATTATATGAAATGCTGAAGGGTGTTTAAGAAGAGGAAGAAGGGGGGAAAAAAAAGACAAATTATGAACAACAAAGTCACAACAAATACATATCAACAAGTGAATCTAAAATGCAAGTGAATAAACTGGTGAATAGAATCAGGGGCATAGAAAGTGAGTGGACTGAATTCTCTGGGGGAAGGGGGTGTGGGGGGTGCAGGAAGAGACTGGACAAAAATCATATACTTATGGACAAGGGGGAGGGGGAGGACAGGGAGTGGGGTGGGAACTGGGTGGAGGGGAGCTATGAGGAGTGGGGGAGAGGAATAATTGTAATCTAAACAATAAAGATTTAAAAAAAAAAAAAAAAAAAGATGCTTAAGAGTATAATACCCTAAACCAAGCTAGGGAGTAAGAAGGTTTTCTCTTTTGTACTCTTCAGTTTGCTTTAATATTATTTGGCAGCAGGAAATAAGTAACTTACCCATAATTATTTTTTCTTTCAGGACAACATAGGAGAACTCGACTTTGATAAACAGTCTGAACTGAGAGCTTTAAGGAAAAAGGAACTCGAGGAGGAAGAAAGCATTAGGAAGAAAGCTGTGCAGTTTGGAACCGGTGAGCTCTGTGACGCCATCTCTGCAGTGGAAGAGAAAGTGGGCTACTTGAGGCCTTTAGATTTTGAAGAGGCCAGAGAACTTTTCTTACTGGGTCAGCACTATGTCTTTGAAGCAAAAGAGTTCTTTCAGATTGACGGTTATGTCACTGACCATATTGAAGTTGTCCAAGACCACAGTGCTCTGTTTAAGGTGCTTGCGTTCTTCGAAACGGACATGGAGAGGCGGTGCAAGATGCATAAGCGTAGAATAGCCATGCTAGAGCCCCTCACTGTGGATCTGAACCCACAGTATTATCTGCTGGTCAACAGACAGATTCAGTTTGAAATCGCACATGCTTACTATGACATGATGGATTTGAAGGTTGCCATTGCTGACAAGCTGAGGGATCCTGATTCACACATCGTAAAAAAAATAAATAATCTTAATAAGTCAGCAATGAAGTACTACCAGCTCTTCCTAGACTCCCTGAGAGACCCAAATAAAGTGTTTCCTGAGCATATAGGGGAAGACGTGCTTCGCCCTGCCATGTTGGCTAAGTTTCGAGTTGCTCGTCTCTATGGCAAAATCATCACTTCAGATCCCCAAAAAGAGCTAGAAAATTTGGCAACATCCTTGGAGCATTACAGATTTATTGTCGATTACTGTGAAAAGCACCCTGAAGCTGCCCAGGAAATAGAAGTGGAGCTAGAACTTAGTAAAGAGATGGTGAGTCTTCTTCCAACAAAAATGGAGAGGTTCAGAACCAAGATGGCCCTGACTTAATAAATTTCATTTTTAATGAAAGAAAATGTGCAATATTGAAGATTTTCCCCCCCTTAGTCAAACGGGCCCAATTCCATTGTTATATTTACTTTTATAGCTAGATGAGTACAGTTCGAACTTGAGATAGACCAATTGAGTCTTTACTAGGACCTTAACATAAATGTAATTAATAACATATCTAATTATGTAAATTGACTTGTTGAAGTGACATGTGATTGGTATTTTAGAGTGCATGTTCTCTATTTAAATATAAACTTTTTCCTGCCTCATTTTCTAAACGTAGTTTCTTCATTGTCTAGTATTTGATGGATCCTTTGAGAGGGGAAATGCTGGTTAATATACCTTGTAGACCAACTTATTATAAAAATTGAAGTCACTTCCTGTCATACTTTCAACAATAAAGAATTATTAAAAGAAAAACTTCCTCTAGTTATTTTTACTCAAATTTTTATTTTCCTAAAGTCCCAAAGAAATCTTTCCGTTTTGAAAATATTAAAAAAATAAATTATGTTGTGTAAAGTATTGTAGTTTGTCTCATTTATAGGGATAAAAGCCTTGTTGGAAATATAAATTTACTTGTTTCACTAATAAAAACTTCATTTACTCTCTTGTTTTCTTGTAAGAATTGAGTTTTGCAACTTCAAAGGTATTGCCTTACTTGAAGCCAAAGGATATTTCTTCAGTAACATTGCACACATAGAAACACTAAAATCTCAGTCATTTAATAAATATTTATTGTAGTACTACTTAGTGCCCAAAAATTCTTAAATTGGCTGCAGTTTCTCATCAGAGGATCCTGGTATATTTTATAAATCTTAGAGCACTGTTAGAAAAGAATATGTACTTCATAATATTAATACATGTTAGTTCTTCTATGAAATGGAGAATGAGGCAGGAAAAAGTTTATATTTAAATAGAGAACATGCACTCTAAAATACCAATCACATGTCACTTTAACAAGTCAATTTACATAATTAGATATATTAATTACATTTATGTTAAGGTCTTAGTAAAGACTCAATTGGTCTATCTCAAGTTCGAACTGTACTCATCTAGCTATAAAAGTAAATATAACAATGGAATTGGGCCCGTTTGACTATTATGAAATATGTACTTCATAATATTAATACATGTTAGTTCTATGAAATGTAAAGGTACAGTGCAAAAGTCAAGATCAGTGGTAAAGTTTGATAGAGAATAGTTCTATTGCATTGGAAAGCTTAGGACTAGGTCACCTCTCGGCTTCTGTACATTTGTGTATGTGTAGCAGTGTCTGCCGCGGGACAGGCATTGCTCCCCTCTTCTAAGGTAGGAAGATACAGTGATGAACAGATAAACACGGCCCTGCTCACATGGAGAAGCGAAGCAAGCACGATGATTTCAGGTTGTGAGTGCTCTTCGGAGAGGAGCCAGAGTGCTGTGGCCAACGTTGACGTCAAGGGGTGCGTAGCCACTGACCGGGGAGGCCTCTGGGAAGATGGGAGCGGACACTGCTCCGAGAACTATTGTACACGGGAGAGAGGCAGCCACGAAGGAAGTTGTTCCTGAGCTGCCTCTGAGCCGAAAACCGAAAAAAGCAGAAGCATCAGGAAGAGTTTTTAAGAGGGACGTGGAGTTAAAATTAAGCGTTCTGTTAGGTCAGTGGTCGGCAAACGCATTAGTCAACTGAGCCAAACAACAGTACAACGATTGAAATTTCTCTTGAGAGCCGAAAACCGACTTCTGCACATGGGCCGCGAAATTTCAATCCCACTGTACATGCGCGCCCGCACGTGGTATTTTGTGGAAGAGCCACACTCAAGGGGCCAAAGAGCCGCATGTGGCTCGCGAGCCGCTGTTTGCCGACCAGTGTGTTAGGTCATACTGCGTTTAGTTGCTGGAGATGAGATGCTAATAACTTCTCTTAATCAGACTTCAGGAGGAAAGCGAAGAGGGTCCTGAGGCAGAGGAGAGGCGGCCTCTTGGGCTCAGTGGGACTCCTTGCACCTCAGCCCCTTAATCCTTTCCTGATAAGCCTTTTGTTGCCAACCATATCGAACTTCACAACTTACATCGTTATTCATTCATTTAACAGATACTGAGCTCTTCCTGTGTGTCAGTCCTCGTGCGAGCTCTGAGAATATGATCGGTAATTGCCAGCCTCTCGAATCTTGATAGCCTTTCTCCTTCCCAGCAGGGTTATTCAGAAGATAACATTCAAGTATAACAGGCACTTAAAACCAGCTTTTATCCTCACACCCATCAGCATACTCTGCTATTTGTCGTTTGCTGTCTGCTGGGACTTTGCACGGTTTTCAGACGTTGTCTTTGATTATCAGGAAATCTCACTGGCTGCTTTGCAAGGCCGCGCTCTCTCCGAGCCTGGCCCACAGCTGCCTGCCTGAGCACGGCTTCCCAGGCACCTGCCTCAGGCTTCGTTGCTTCTCTAGGTTTTAGTAATTGTCAAGCTTTTGGTCTCAAACCTTCTTTGCACTTAAAATTGAGAATGCCAGAGAGCTTTTGGGTATGCAGGTTATTTTTTTTTTTTGTATTTATCCTATTTGAAATTCAAATTAAGAAAATTTTCAACAATTTCCATTAAAATGACAGTAATAAACCCATTGGATTTAAACAATCATTTATAGCCGAAACCGGTTTGGCTCAGTGGTAGAGCATCGGTCTGCGGACTGAAAGGTCCCAGGTTCAATTCCGGTCAGGGGCATGTACATTGGTTGCGGGCACATCCCCAGTAGGGGTTGTGCAAGAGGCAGCTGGTCGATGATTCTCTCTCATCGACGTTTCTAGCTCTTTATCTCTCTCCCTTCCTCTCTGTAAAAAATCAATAAAATATATTTAAAAAAGAAAAAAAGGATAAACCTAAGTTTAAAAATAAATAAACAGTCATTTATAAAAAATTATTATTTCCCCCCAAAAAAGAGTGGCATAATTTACATTTTTGCAAATATCTTTTTTTGTTGTTAATGCTTACCCAACGATATTTTTTTCTATTGAATTTTACTTATTTAAATATATTTTTATTGATTTCAGAGAGGAAGGGAGAGAGCGAGAGAAACATCATTGATGAGAATCATTGATCGGCTGCCTTCTGCATGCCCCCCACTGGGGATTGAGCCTACAACCTGGGCATGTGCCCTTGACAGGAATCGAAACCAGGACCCTTCAGTCTGCAGGTTGATGCTCTATCCACTGAGACAAACCAGCTAGGGCTTTTCAGTTGATTTTTAGAGAGTGGGAGGCAGGGAAGGAAGGAGGGAGGGGGGGAAGAGAGAGAGAGAGAAACATTGATGTGAGAGAGATACATCAATTGGTTGCCTCCTGCCCTCTTCCTGACGACGGGGGCCAGGCATCAAGCCTGCAACCCAGGAACATACCCTTGACCATATGTGCCCTTAACCAAGGACCAAATCCTTGACCCTTCAGTGCATAGATGGATGCTCTAACCCACACATGTCAAACACAAGGCCCGCGGGCCAAATCCGGCCCGCCAGGCCTTGCAATGTGGCCCGCACCGCGCTGTCATCACTGCATTCCGCTGCGTTCCATCACAATGACATAGGAGGCTTGTGATCTCCCTGGCTGCCTCGCCGGCCGCCGTACTTGCTATCTATTACGCATGCGCATAGATAACAAGTCACGCGAGATTCAGGAGGCGTGACCTATAGTCCGGCATCCGATGTGGTTGTGCGGGTGGCAGAGCAGAGGAGAGAGTGAGTGTGCGGGCATAAAAAATACACAGCAGAAGATGCCAGTTCCTGGCATAAAGTGCAGGCATAAAAATCGCAACAGAATCTGCTATCTGTACCCAGCCAGGCATTTATTGACTGACTTTTTTTTTCTCCACTCCATCTGCCAAATCAAGCTATCCCTGTGCAGTTTTCAACTTTTTCCTTCTAACGCAGATTTCCAATAAACTACATCTTTTACTGCCAATATTGATCCCAAAATGTCCAGGAAAAGAAAAGTTGACGGTGAAGGCAGACAATTTAATGACAAATGGGAAAATGAATACATGTTTGTGCTTAGAGAGGGCAAACCAGTGTGTATATTGTGTTATGAGACAGTGTCGGTGATGAAAGAGTACAATATACGTCGTTATTTTGACACCAAACATAATGTTAAGTATGGCAAATATACTTTGGAAGAAAAGCATAAAATTGTTAAAGAACTAAAAGGCAAACTACAATCACAGCAGCAAATGTTTACAAAGGCTACAGCGAAAAATGATGCTGCAGTGAAAGCAAGTTTTATAGTGGCTGAAGAAATTGCCCGTACTTCAAGGTGTTTTTCAGAGGGTGCCTTTTTGAAGCAATGCATGCTAAAAGTGTGTGAGCAAGTACGCCCAGACCAGATATAGAGTTTTCAAAATGTCAGTTTGTCAAGAAACACCATTGCAGATAGAGTTCAAGAACTCTCAGGAAATCTATCATCACAGCTGGCCGAACAGGCATGCAGTTATCTCGCTTTTTCACTTGCTATCGATGAAAGCACAGACAACACTGATACAGCGCAGCTGTCCATCTTTATACGTGCTACAAAGACCGACCTCTCTGTCACTGAGGAACTTTTGGATGTAGCTGCCATGCATGGGACGACGACTGGTAGAGATATATTTGAGGCTGTGGAGAAATCTATAAATAATTTTAAATTACTCTGGGAAAAGTTGGTGGGGCTAACTACCGATGGCGCACCTTCAATGTGTGGAGAAAAGAAAGGCTTGGTTGGACTAATGAAGGAAAGAATGCAAAAAAGTCACTACCATACACCCTTGATTACTTATCATTGCATTATCCACCAAGAGGCTATGTGTGGAAAAGTTCTGGACATGAATGACATAATGACCACAGTCATTAAGACTATTAACTTTATACGGGCACGTGGCCTGAATCATCGCCAGTTCCAGCAGTTTTTACAGGAGGTGGGTGCAGAGCATGGAGACGTGCCATACCACACAGAAGTAAGATGGCTGAGCAAGAGCGCAGTCCTCAAAAGATTTTTTGAGCTCAGAGAACAAATTGCTCTTTTCATGGAAAGTAAAGGAAAGCCCTTGCCTGAACTGTCGGATCCCTCCTGGCTATGTGATTTTGCTATGATGTGTGACATATGCGAGCATCTCGCCCAACTTTATCTGAAGCTGCAGGGACGCAAACAAGTCATCACGAAGATGTCTGACATGATCACAGCATTCCAGCGTAAACTTCAACTATGGAAGTCCCAGCTGGAACAGGACAATCTTGCCCACTTTCCCGTTTGTTTGAGTATCTCAACCACTATTTCTGGTACTTTTCCTTGCAGTCGGCTGGCTACCAAAGTTAGCCGTTTACTAAGTGAATTTGAGCGGCGCTTCTCTGACTTTAGAACACAGCACTCAGGCTTTGACATCTTTGCCAATCCTTTTACAGTTGATGTCAACAATGTGCCCC